AATTGCCGTATGCGACGCCAAAAAATCTCATGTAGATTATTCAATATATCTCTGCCGCGGCTGTCTATGCGCTTCCAACATATCCCGTTCTGTCACAAAACGAGTTTAATGCAGCACATAATGCCGAACGGGAGCATTTACATTGCGCGCGATTAATGTCACTCGGCGTGGCAAATTATACGTGTCCCCCAAAAGCACGCTCACCTAAATGCATCGGATCTCAATATAATCCCCGAGAGCTCGTCATTACGCCGTGGCTCGAATTAGTATCCATCTATTACATATTAAATTACATCAAACGCCCACTCGTGATTATCATTGCGCCGTCATATCGCCGTAATGCCGTAATGCCGATAGAGATGCACGTGGACGCTGTTGCCTGTGAAATTGGAAAGTGGCCTATGACAATCGATACATACGGAGGAGAAATTATCCAATTACGCGATAATTCCTGCTTTTGCATTATCACGTGATATTTTATCGCAAGCGACGAACCATCGGTTGGCATCGTGATATCGCAGATTGCGTACACCGTCGTATTTACGTTTGTCATTTTTGAAACACAAATTTCGAACCTCGGCGCGAAATTTTATGCTAAAGCAAAATCCAATAAAATATATTAGCTATAGGTACGCCGTAGATCATTTACATGCAATATAAGCGCGCGGGTTTATCACTGACGCTGCGAATATCCAATAGATTTATTTTCACTCATTGATCGCATTAATCACAGCTTTGAACAATCGTCCCTTCTCTATTCCTGATTTAACGGCAGATTTGACGCCGAATCATGTTATTTCACGACCGCCTTTCAACCGTGGTTTTTGTAGGTGTCACACGGGTTTCCAACTAGGTTACAATTGAATCAGGGACTAATCACTGTAATCCGGATCTAATCTGGCGCCGTACTGGCAGCGAGTGAGGCTGCTGCCAGGATCGATCGGTGATAATAAGTGGAAACTGATTTGCACCAAATGGCAGTAGCGAAGTTAAATAGAGAGAGAACAATCGTACAGAAATATATATATAATTAATACATAATTAGTATATTTAATTAGTTTCGAGCATTCAGTAACTTCGTCTCAATTAGATGTAACTTTAATTTAATGGAAAACAAGATACAAACTTATATTTGCGCAATAACGCTCTTGTGCTTTTGATCTCTGCAACTCTGCAAGTAACAAGTTTCTCGAAAAGCGATAATCAGGTGCGAGATCTAACAGAGCGATAATAACCACATGATTACGAAAAAAAAGACAGAACATTTTGTACATTAAAAAATAAGATACATCGCATCTCAAGACTGGAACATATGCGCACACTTTGTATTATCTTGACACATCTTGTAGTAAAAAAAAGAAAGAATTAATCCGAACTGAAACTTGGAAAAAAATCATAGAATTATTTCGTGAATCGCAGCAATTGAAGTCCACCGACTGCAGCTCGATTTGTAACGGAATAAGTTTGAAATAATGTTGCACAAGAAGAGTGTTCGATCACTTAAAATAAAAATCCTTCCGAACGGAAACTTCGAACTGAATCGTGCGAATGAAAGAAATCTGTATGAAATACGGTTCCCCCCGGCGAAACGTCCGAGTATCGCGCGCAAGAGTTAACGAGATGAGGAAATTTGATTGCTTTATTAACCCGAAGAATGTCTCGTTGCCGCTCTCGCGCTCGAAAGAGAGTATCTCGCGCGCCCGCACGTACGAGCGTGCCGCACGACGCGCGGGTTACACCCGCGTATAATTACGCCGGTGTTGGCCACACAGCGTGAGACCCCTTTTGCGCCATGTTTTTGTCAGGCCGAGACAAAATGAGAAGAGCAAGGGGGGGGGCGAGCGGGGAGAAACAGCGCGATAGCGGACGAGCGCGGGCGAGATTTCCACAGGCACTTCGCGTGCCTGGAGGCTTGCGTGCAAAAATGGGTCATACACACATTTCGTTATGACGTATTGCTTAACGATCCTCCGACTTTGTCCGACATCGCATTCTGCGCGCCTTATTCATTTTGGGCGGTGAGCGCGGATTAATTAGCCAGGCAAGATTAATTAATTATGGCGACCTCGACGAGTTCGACCTAGCGGCGTCCCCGTTTTGGCAACATCGCACTCGACATCCAGCAAAGAATTTATTCTCATGACCACAAACTCGACTAAACTTGAAGATTTTAATTAGTCGCATCCTTAATTAATACGCGTACGTAACGCTCGATTGTATTGATGATATGAATTTCATGGAATTTACAACAATAATATCATTTGTTAATCGTTTCTCCATTCATCTGTTTGGACAGTTAATAATTGAACGCAATAATCAATACGAAATGTCAAAATTATATTTAGCACGCGAACAATTTTGAATCTGACTTCTGTAATACAGAATATGGAGCTTGTTCTCTGCTTAGCGAACAGAGAGAACTTTCGGAAGGATTCGCCGACATGATCGAGCAAATTGAATCTGTTCCGTCCGCATGTAAGAACCTCAATAATAAGGGAACGAAATTTGCCTGACATCATTTTGTGGCGTATTATTTCTGTTTCTTAAGAAATAGAAAATCCACCCCTAATTAAATGTGCCAGAATAATTTGCGTATAAAAAGACAAAAATTTAATTTTTTAATTTTATTAATTGCAAATATATAATTAAAACTAAAGACAACGGAAAGAAGAATGCAAATCGAAATTTACTTGGTGAATTTCGTGCTAATGTGAATCAGGTTCTTCGTTTGCGAGAAAATTAATAAGTAAAAAAATATGAGGATGACGTTGTATCGAATTGGACATCGCGCCCAACTTAAGCACAAAGTTTGCCGGCGAACGAGAGAGCTAAGGGCTTTCGGAAGAATCTGTCAGTCTGCTCGCGCGATAATGGAGCAGTGAAATTTCCTTTACATCGCGCAGCTACCTTTCGGTAAATAATTCCGCCGAGTCGACTGTCAGCGACTCGGATGCGCGAAGCGAGTAACGACATTCTGGCATTATATATCATTCACGTGAAGTTACGGATACTTCACAGATTTTCAATCTTAGTTTGCGATACACCGCAATATTCAATATTCAGTTTCGTACAATGAGCGAAGAGGAAAAGCGGGTGTCCCCGATATTTCCTTGCACATTGTGTGCAACGTTGAATGTCGAATATTACAAATAACACGAATACTCGGCATTTCTGTATCAAAATATTCCGGTTGTCTAATCTTTTAGCACACACGGACGGTGAGTTTCAATGCGAATCTTTTTTTTGGGCGGTAAAATACTTATGCTTTGAATTTACTCTGTCAAATCGCATCGCGGCGGAAATAAAGATTTTAATAAAATATAACATTTAAATAATGCATCCTGCTTTATTCTTTATTAAGCTTGACAATATTGCAAAAGTTGACGACAGAAAATAATGCGGCGAAAAATAAATGGAGAATTATTGCATGACAAATGTTCCTCACAATGCCGCATCCCGTTGGCCCCTATTTAAATACGCGCTTGAAAAACGACGCTTTTCCTGGTGCCGGTGAGAATAATAAAAGTGGCTACATGTGCGCGAGCGACGCGTGGAAACGCGCCAAAGTTTGTTCGATTCAACAGCGAACCCCTGATGCGTTTATAACCCTTGGGAACGGCAAAAGTGTCGTTCAATTAAACGATAAAACGTTGGAGGGTACGCAACGAAGTTATACAACAATTGTTTGAATACAAGGCAATTTGCAATCAAAATCTGATTCATACGACGAAAGAAGTTAATTGCTACAGTCGTTGCCTCGCGCGAGATAACGATTTTGCATTAAATTCTCATTTATGTAATTTCTGTTTATATTTGTGGTTTGCACTTTTCCGCGCATTCCACAAATTTATGAAGAACACAAATGCAGTCCTATTTTTATTGCACAGAAAACATGTCAATTTTTCACGTTGCCGCGCTTCATTATTAATAAAACAAGTAGCACAGACATCATTATATGTATTTTCTCGCGGACCTCACTGAGAAACAGGCAAAATGTCGAAAATGTAATTTGCTCGAATTAAAGGTTATTGAAAATTATTCGATAAATATTATCGTTCTCGTAAAGCAATGCTTTATCGATCCGTATCTCGCGTTATATTTCTGGGCACGAAAATGTCCGGTCCAACGATGACCCTTTAGATGCGTCAGAAAATTCTCGTGCCAAATGCACTTTAAAATTTCGGTTGAATTTACTGCCGCATTTTCGCAACGAGTGCAGTATTTACGTTCGTGTTCAATTAGTTGCTCCAGACCCAAAATCCTCTCTGCTGTACAAATGATGTGCCACTTTAAAGGGGGGATCGTTTTTAAGATAAATAACGGTGACGGACAAACTGTCAGATTACTCAGATATTTAAACGAGAAATTGTAATTTTCTCGATAAGGCACATACAATATCGAAAATAATATCACTGCTGCAATAATGATATTCATAATTTAGAGATCACATAAAATGAACAACGTAATAATAATTTTAGATTTCAGGCAAAATTGCCAGACGTTCTGCACATAAAATATCCTGCGTTTCAACTTGAATTTTAACAGTTCGTTCATTTTAGCATTAGACCTGTCAGAACGCGAAATTGCTCTACATTTCACATTCACATTACTCAACAATTAAATTTGGTCGTAATTATTTACGTCATTTTTATTCTTTAAATTCCTCTGCACATACATACAATGTTTATATATTTATTAATCCAATCATCATCATCATTGATGAAACAAAAAATTATATATACATTTAATTACTGCGCGCTAATTAAATTGCGTTTTATACTTACTTGTTTCGATTAATTTCAATATTTAAAAAATTCAGCAGTTTTTTAGACAATTTGATTCACGAATAAATAGCGAAAAAAAAAAAATATGAGAACGCATCGTTTATCAAAGTTTCTTAAATCAGCGGACACACCGTGTCGATGGCAGCGGCACGATCGTCAACGGCGCGTATCCGGCGATTCGATTCGCGCAATTACCATGAAACAATTATCACATACCTGTTGTCAAGTCCCGCGGGGATTCGGCGACGAATGTCGATGACGAAGTATCACTATCCCCGCCGACTTAAATCTCCAAAAACCGTAGCACACACGCGGCCCCCCGGCTTTCGAAGCCGACGAGCGGAGCGAGAGAGGAGACGTCGCACGCGCGCGAACGCCGCGCGATTCCGTTTCGCGTGGCGCGAACAATCGGCGTGCGAAGACGAAGAGTTTGAAGAAGAAAAGGAAAAGGGGGAGAGAGAGAGAGTCCGGAGAGCGGAAAGCCGGAGAGGAACTTGGAGCGAGCTCTCTCGTCGCGAGGGAGTCGCGGCACGATACTGACGATTCGTCCGTGGGGCGCACGGACCTCATGCCGCCAGGATCTCCATCCCCACCGGCGCGGCGCGGCGCCGACATTCAGGGCCGGTTGATCAACGGGCAACGGCGGATCGTCACGATCCTGAGACGACGCGCCGTCTCCCCCTCCCCCTCCCCCCAATCCCCCTTTCTGTAAGGGCTGATTAAACCCTTGGAATCGATCCCTGTATTCGATGTCTATCGATACGCCAGCTAATGCGTCACCTCAACTATCGGATAGTCGCGTGTATGAAATGCCACGTTCCGAAAGTTTCAACTTCGCGTACGAACACTCGCACGAAGACTAAATGTCGCCTATTAATCAAGCGTAATTATACATAATGTATGATAGTGTCTGGAATAATTATACGCCATGTTAAAAGGATTCCTCGACAAAAGTGCGCTTTAGTTATTTTGCGCAATATTCTCATTATTATATTATATTTCCCATTCTTGGACTCTTTTTTTTTTGTGTCTTTTGTATAACCAGTTGGACGGTGGTGCGAACAGACACGAGCCTGGTAAGCCTAAATGTGGGATGAGCCAAGATCAGGAGAATTAGAAGTTGCGTGATTGTGGCAAAAAAATTAAGCAATCTTTGAGATTAATTCTCTGGCAGAGAAAGCTATGTGGTCGTCCGAAAAAAGAAGCAGACCTTATATTCGGGATATTACTTAAACCATCCTTAAGTAACCATTAAACAAATATATAATTAAGTGAACAATGTTAAAAATACTGAGAATAAAAGTGAGTAATTGAGCAAATTTAACGAAGGAATATTAATTACACCTACATCGGGATGTTTACATCAAATGTAATTAGCGGCATTGCACTTTTTTTAAGCAGTTAATTAACAATTTACATTGAAATAAAATGTAATTTAAATTGACAATCGTCGCTTTATATTTCTTGTCTTTCAAGCAAATTATTTATAGTACTTTCCAATTATTGTATGTGAAAAAAGAAATAATAATATGATCGATGTAGAAACACAAAGTATGTTTATTACATTCGTCTTTTTTGCAAATTACAATACCAAATTTTTTAAATACAATGCCGCTCGGCAAAAGCAGCCACCCACATTTTCATAATCGACGCTTTAAAGTTAAATCGGCAATGAACATTTTCGTTCCGGATAAACGTTAATTCCTCAGAGCAATAACGCTAAATCCACATAGTCGTATATGTGCCGCATTGCGGAAATCTATCATCTCATGAATCGTGCATTCGAAGTGATGTACCTCATCTCAAGTTTCTAAAACTACCCTCCGGCCTTTGCAAATTTAGCGCGGGCAATGAAGATAACGCCAAATATTTAAACGCGAGAGGTAAATATTTATTTGCCGATAAAACACTATTGTAATACTTGCTCTTAGCATATTTGTGCTGCGATATTGTGTTCCGTCGCTTATATCTAGCCGTGATGCTCCATTCAGGACGCGCGTTCTATTGCTATGAACTTTCGGTGTCACGACTCTCTGATTCTTATCTTGGATTCTCCTCCAGCAGGATACTGCCGTTTATTACGTATCGTCATCATTACGTGTACAGGCTGATTCAAGCGTACGGTATTACTTACGAATCCTATTACTAGCTGCAATAATAGAAATTGCAGAATTATCCGCTTTTAAGGTGAAAAAGTCGAGTCGAAAAATGTCCAAAGATGCGAAACGCCAAGTAACAATGTATATTATGTATAACAATGTATAACAATGTATTATATAATTAATTTGTAATACCAAACGAAATGAAAGACAGAGAGAAAGTGTCAGATGATTGGAGTGCAGGAGGAGCGAAGAAATCAAATACGAAAGAAAGAAATCATACGCTTCTCAATCTTCATCTTTTTCTTCGTGACTGAAGCTAATCTTTCCAATTCGATCTCTTTACTGCTTTCTCCTTTTCTTATTCTTAGTCATAGATATCTTTGACGTTGCCAATCTACTGAAGTTTTGTCCTCCTAGGTTGTCGTCTGACATCACAATACGCTGTAAAATAAGTAAAGTAGAATCCTCAGTCAATATAGAAATACTGTGAAATTTTATCGCCTCCAAATTCATCAAACGCGACGCCTAGACGCAAGCGACGATTGATGCAAATCTTGCGAAGCAGTTTGTATACTATCTCGAGCACCGCGCACTTTCTCTTCACTCGGCAAGTACGTAGAGTACCAATTTAAAAATACCAGCGTTTCTTTCAATGTCAAGGCGCAAATACTCTCAATAAGAAGGAATCACACAGCGTCAATTAAGAACATCTGTTAAAAGTTGAGGCTGACAATCGCAGTCTCGATTTTTTCTTCCAATAATTCTTTTCCGTTACACTCGAGCTTCGATACAGAATTCTCATTTAATCTGCGAAATGAGGTGATCGAAAATCCGAAAATCGCAAGAAAATATCGGGTGGGATGAAATCTTCCGCGAATGTACCGAAGAATCATACAGGAAGCAAACGACGAAACCTCGAGGCGATGCGATGTATCATAACGGCTCGACAGAACTCCGGAACATTTCGCGAATTGCCGTGAGGGTCACGTCGTGTGCCACACTGCGTCCAGGACACGTAAAAGTTACCGCAGCCGCATCGCGCAGCTTTCGATCGTTTCTCGTGATGCGACGTACCGATAGCATCGTAGTAAGCGTTACCCAGTGAATGACACGGTCTCCCACGCCTCTCTATTCGTCTTCTCGGTTGTACGCGAGAGGCGGAGAGGAAGTCTCGTCTCTTGCAACGAGAGAGAGAGAGAGAGAGAGGTGAGCCGCAGGCGCATCCTTTTACTGAGGGACGCGTCGCGCCAGTAAACTCACTTTCATCTGTGATATTAGCCGAGCCAAGGCGAGCGAAGGCGCGATGCGATTCGCCTTTCGATTCGCGCGAGGCACGATCGAGGCCTGCGCGCGTCCGTAAAACGTCCTCGGATGATTAACCCGAGGGTGTTTGACACCGAGGCGAACCGGCAGGAAAGAAACAGAGTGCTGTCTTCCGAGTGCTAGGCAAAATATTGCCGCAATCACAATAATCACAATAATTTAAGATCGAACAAGATTCCACAATCTGAAATAAAGATAATATTTTTGCGAAGCGAAAGGTCTAATAACAATCGCAGAAATATGTTCGATATAAGTGGATGATGTTGCGCAAAGATGAATACTAAATCTGTAAAGTTATAAAAAAGAAAGAAAAAAGATAATTTATACATCTGGCTGGATTAGACGACGCGCGAAACTCTGCAACACTTTGCGAACCTGATTTATTCGGAAGTACCTGCTTGATAGGTTAGGTTTGCGTAACACGATTTAATTTCGTGTTAAACATATCCTCTTAACGCAAGCTTAACACAAGCTCGATTACGATCTACGAGCGCGACGGTGACGAGAACGTGAAAAGCCAATATTCGCTTTAATCCCACGTTGCACTTTTCTCTCTTGTAACACATGCAAAACGAAACGTTGCTGTTGCGCGCTATTGTCTCTCAATTCACCTCTTCGTGCCTGTAATAACAAAGCACATGTGTTGGAAAAAAGAAAGAAAAATATACTCCTCGCGAAAAAGTCCAATTACAGTCGGAACCTGCAGCTCGCGGCGAGTACTTTTCTTGAATAACGTATGCGGACGTAGTTACTGCGACGTAACGACGAAGCTAGACGGCACTTAGGAGGCGTTGAAATATGAGAAAGGATATTTTTAAGCGTACATTTGTACGCTCTAAAGGGAAACAGAAAAATTATGAACTATGAAACTTCACATATTTTTCTTAAGAATATTAAAAGGTATATGAAAGCAGTGAATAATCCTTTTTCATTATTTATAGGAGTGTTTAATATGTAGTAAATAACGCTAATGAACTACTTTTTCATCGTTTAAAGAAATATTTAATCTATTAATTAATTAACTAATGAATGTGTTGTAATTTGTATATGTCAATGGATATGTTTTATTATTTGCTTCGATAAGAGAAACTTTTGTTATTTATTTTAGTTAATTTTAATTAATATGAAATTGTTTTGTTTTAATAAATAAATTCTAAGATCTCTTATGTTTTATATTATTGTTGCTCTTGACATTATTAAAAATGCAGCAGCTAATTGTCTCAAGATTTCGATACTTAATCAAGATGCTATTACATTATAAATTGAAAATTTTATGAGAAATAATTAATCGATAATAATGTTTATTATCAATATTATTAAAAAATGGAATTATTAAACACATGATACACGATACAGATTTGATATCAATATGTGTACAATAATATTTATAAACGAATATTTATCTTTCTGAATTATATACCAAGAATGACGGATCGCGTACAGTTCGTGGTCGAGTTTCAGTTCTAATTAATTACATATTGCCTGGTTTATTATCACCTTCCATCCCTCAGCACTCCGCGACTTGATTATAATTTCGATGAACTCCTTGCGCATTGCGCTGAAACCCGACTAAATGTACAATTCCGTCTTGGAAAGCTAGTGACGCGTGTCACAACTTTGCGACCATAGAATCGAGAATTATTCATCGCGCGCTATAAATTACAGGCGACGGTTTATTAACATCGCGTCAGCCAGCTTGGAGACCAGCTTTCTTCACTGTCATGATGAAAACTAATTGTTCGGTCGTTGTCCTCCCTCTTCTTCGTGTGCTTTCGTCACAGGTAGTTTGCTACCTGGTGCTATCCTGATAAGCTAAGTTTGCTAATTACTGTTTAACTCTTTCCGCAGCACGAAACAAAAACGTCCAACCAAACAAAACATTATTTACGAGTGAATAAATCCACAATTATCAAATAAGATCTATTTATATTTTTAAATCTTATAATGCACTGGTACGCACATACACACGTATCGTGTTGAAAATATATGCACGTAACGCAAAGCATGAACAATTTATTTTCAATACAAATTCGCATGTCACCGCATCACTTTTTTCACCGAGTTATTTAATTTCAGAACACGATCCGTGTACGCTTTTATAAATGAGCGCGGTGCGCGTGTATGCGTGCGCGCGTGTAGCGCGCGTAAGCTATTACATAACTATTGCGCCAATCAATCAGCTGGTTGACTGATCAGCTGCGGTTCATCGTCCCTCGCTTCGCGAAGTAGGCGAGCACGTGATTGTTCCAGCCAGTTCCTCCCTAGATCGAGATCAGTCAAGGCTTAGTCGTCCCGCATCGATATTGTGACGCAGAAAAATCGCATTTGAAACTCCAGCACTTCTGGTAAATTCGAAGCCATTTATCTCGGATAATTGATTTGCGAGATATCGTCGAAAATTAATCACGGAAATGAAGTTAATGTTTTCGGCAGCGCAAAAACGCAAGAATCATTCGCGGCTAATATATTTAAAGTTAAAATGACGTATACATATTGCTGTACGATCGCAACAAACGTTTTTTATACGTATCAATTTTTTGTATAAAATAAGTTAATTAATTATAGAAAAAAATATGAATCATATGATTAAATATCGTATTATTAATAAAGCCGCAAATAAAAATATATCTATTTCAAATAAATTTAAGAATAAAAAGTGTACAAGATATTTAAGAAAAATTAGAATCGCTATTTTCACTCGGAAACTGTCATTAATTAACAGATCAATTGTAAAATAACAAATAAGTTACAAATTGTCCCGAGATTAATGAATCTCGAGATCACGAGTTCAATGTACATCAAAACATCCGCGTTCGGACCGTCAACAATTTATAATAATATCATAAAAGCAAAACAAGAGATTCAATAGAATTAACCGTAATAAAAAAGATTTTAGGGGCATCCCAGTGTTTAAGAAAGCAATCAGCAAGGAGCAAGGAGCATCTTATAGCCATTGCGCGGCTGAAACTTGTTGATTACTTTCTTAAAGCAGCTGCGGTATCTCATTTCACTTTACAACGCGTAAAAAGTCTTTTCACAGTTATATGGGAATTTATAGTGCTTCGTAACGATGTCAGAGGTGGGAAACAAATCAACAAACTATAATTTCGCAGATCCAATACCATACCGTAGCGAAGCGTAGAATTATCATCGCAGCTCGGGCTATTATTCCCGCTCAGCGTTGAGACTCCGTGCCGGTAATATTGAATCCATGATGTCAGTAGCGGGAAATCACATGCAATTACTTGTAAAACTTGCTGTAAATATCTTCTTTGCGTCCTTTACTCTTCCTTGTTTCGCGAATAAATATTTAATCAATCAGTCCGGTGAAATTAATCACTCACATTCGAGATAAATTAATAATAAATGAAAATAAATTGATAATAAATTAAAATAAGTTGTTATTGATTTATCAGCCAGACGAAGTAAGAAGAAAAAAAAGAATTTGCGGCGCGCAAAACAAGATTTTGCAATTTTATAGAAAGCGAGCGGCATGCGGAAAAAAGACTCATTTATTTCGACGCGCACCGCAAATGAAGATTACCTGAAATTTCTCACTTGTGAAATAACGTCCAGTGGCTGCGGAAACTGTTCCACAATTTTAAGTAGAGATTAAGTATCATATAAAATAGCGGAGCTACACGTTAAACTGTGTTTTATCGAGCATCTTGTATGTATTGGCAAACAGCCACCGGCGAACGCTCGGTTCGTAGCTTTAAAAGGCTTTTAAATATTCCCACCCGACGTGAGAAACTGCCCCTGGAAAATACATGGAAAATACATGGAAAACCTATCGTCATAAACACTTTGACAGCGCATCGATAAAATATTACAGTTGAATATTCAATTTTTCATTTATAGTAAGCTCTCCAGGATTCCACATTCTCCATTCGCCCACACTTCGGCAAGCGCAAATAAAAAAAGAGCGGATTGAAATTAATCATAGGATGAAAAACTTTTCAAACGGCGGCGAACCGTCACTTCAAACACGTAGCGCATACATCATTTTATACATTAAACGTTTGAGCGATTGTGATATTCTTATTAATTACGTCGAATATGGCAAGTGCCTTCCGCGGTATAAATTTGCGCGCTAAAGATTTCTGCATTTTCTGCATTCTTAATTCCCTAAGTGATAAATTTTATTTTAACGTGCTCAAGCAATAACTATATAATAAATACATATTTAGCTCGTTTGCGACAATCAATAAATTCCCACATGGGAAAAATCGAGAATAATTTGCATCCTCTCGCGAAGCAACGTCTGCAAAAGTAAATTACTTTTCTAACGGTAAGAGTTTTCTCGCGGCAAGAGTTAAGCCGATAATGGCACAAGACAATATTATATGCATTCGCATCGAGCGATCAGATGCGAGGAATGATCGGACGGAGTCTAATAAGAGAATAATGATCGCCGCGCGAAACTTATTACGACTTGTTGGCCAATCTCGAATCCACGCAGGCGAAATGTCACCGACGGATGGAAGGACATTCATTATGCTCCGAGAGGATTCTCGGAGGACAAGCGCGGCACACTTGGATAATATCGTTGAAAGAGGGGGAAAAAAAAAAAGCGTATTATCCACCTGTGTTCCTCGAGTCACGGAAAAGAGGACGCCCTTTCGTGATATTACCGACAAGAGCCGATCGTTAACAAAAGTTCATCGCCGTCACATCGATCCCCAGGCGATTCGACGACGGGGAACTGGGGATCTTAATCAGGCAAAAATAGACGGAAATACAACCGAGATCCTGCGATATGCATGTCAATGCGCATTTTTTTTTTTTTTTTTGCGACGAGTTTCGAAACGAACGAAGCCGCGACTTTTGCGCATTGCGTAATTTATCGACGGAAAAAAATGTCGCAATCTTTTCCGTGACAGTATTTTCGAATAATCCACGAGTGCAAATTAATTTAGAAATGTTTAGTTTCCAAACACAATGGATGTTATCTCTGTCTATTAATCTTCTGGGAATAATTCTTTTCAACTTCGCTGTTCTTACATGTTTGACATGCAAGTCTACGAACATTATCTTTATTAAATATTTTTCTAGATTATAAAACAATATCATTTCTTGTTTGATAATCATTTTTAAGCAATTTTTCGTATCGCAAATTATTTTTCACTGATGCCGAAAAATTTTTTTATTAAAAACAATATTTAATATTTCCTTCGTAACGTGCGCACATTCTTCTTTTATTATATTTTGGACGTTGTACAATTTTATAAACTAAATAATAATTCAGTAGATGAAGGTTTTTTAATTATCGAAATATCAATGGCATCAAAATATCGATAATCTACAAATATAGCGCAGTGCGCCAGTTTTTGAAAAACCGATATTGCAATTACCGTTCAACTTATTTTTAGTTTTTCTTTTTTTTTTTTAATTATATTTACCGCAATATAAATAATAGACGCGAAAATAAAAGCAGCGCGCGCGAGGATTAAAAAGAAGAATTGCGCGCGTCGTCTAATATCATATTCATACTTTCTAAAAATGTTTCTATTGCTTGCGGGACGACGTAACGTTACATCGTCGGGGACTTAATCCGTCGGCGGGAGCGCGGATCCTTATCGATGTCTTTCTAGGCGGCTCAGGACGCCGCGGCGAACGTCGAACAATGGAAAGACAGCGGCCACGTAACGCCGAGGCGCGAGAGAACGCGTCCTTCCGGCATTTTAATATTCCTCTCGGTGTTACACGCGTGTTTCCGCGTGCCTGTGCGCGGGACAATGCAACACCCCGCCGCGGCACAGTGGCACAAGAAGAAAAGAGTGTGGCAATTAAGTGACACGCGCTCCCACGCCCCGGGACATTGGCCCGTGCACACGCTGCGAGAAACTGACACCTTATCGCGCGCACATCCATCCCCCGTCGAACAAAAAATAACTCTTCTCTTCTTTATTTATTTCTTCTCCCGCTTCGAAGTCGTACATGGTACCGGAAGATTTGGTTTCGATCTTATCAATCTTGCCGATTTCTTATCCGCCTGTTACGAAATCCGATTAAAAGTCTATTTTAGCGCTCTCTCTCTCTCTCTCTCTCGCGCGCGCGCGCCTGCAGCTTCCTTCAAATTCATTTCGCGGTGGTTAATGCAAACAGTACGCAGTATATGCGTCTGCGCGTGAATAGACGATTCTGATAAAGATGATATCGCCTGACCGCGCCCACATTTTAATGATTTTTTGAGCAGCTCACTTGAATGAGCATTATTGATCTGAGCGATTCGCTCGCGTAATATGAAATAACGAGGCTCATAAGCATCGAAAGTTACCTAACCCCGAAACCGTCCGTAATGCGGTCCCGCCGGCAACAATAATCACAGTGTACAATATCGCTTTGAAATAATGGAATAATACCGCAGTGACGAAATAGATAGGCGTTGCGGATAGATTTCGGCACATTCGGCGGCAGAATCGTATTGTGAGAAAGATGCCGTTTTGCACAAACTGCCGCTTAGAGCTGTCGTTACTCAACAGCTTCGTTAAGAAACGCTTTAAGCAACGTAGAATCAATGTAAATTATACCGCTTACCTCTTTGCATTGTCCTGCCGACGTATTAAAAGAATATTTCTGCAATGATGTTTATGTAAAATGCGGGCGCGCCCGCGCAAACCTCTTGGCGCACAATACATCAACACGTACACATCTTTTTTATATATATATATATAGAAATTTAATTTAACATTAATATAATTTAATATTACACGTTAAAAATACATTTGTTAATACTTCGATAAAATTATATAAATTTAAAACTTTACAGTGTGTGTATTTGTGATATTAGCGCTAAAATCCATTATCTTCGTCTGATATTATTTATATATCTAAAATAATCTATAACAGAACAATCATAGAAAAGATATTCCACTTTATAGAAAATAATTATATTAACAGGTACTGTATGTAATTTGAACCTTCCTCGTACAAGCTACATAATCTGTATAATACGAAAAAGGAATAAAACTATGATTGCTCTCTTCGTATTCCGACAGACGCTAAAGTTTATGTTTGTTCGATATGACATCGATCGATATGACAAATAGTATTTTAATTCATACCAGCATCATCTTAATACCATTATGTAATGGGAATCGGTTGGAGATCGTCTCGAACAACGTTTTCAACGAACCTCCTGTAATAATGCAACAAGATCTGTTTAATTCGATCAAGTTTCTTCGGGTTCACAACACTTTCGGCCGTAAACAATGGGTTTTCCGGCCCGAAGCCGGACTCGAACTGTAACGCCTCCTCCTCCTCCGCTAAAATCGGATTTACCAAAAAGCACCCGACGACCGCTCCGTAAAACGAGAAAGCTTTCAGCTCCGAATTCAGCCACTCCGTGCCGACCTCCGCCAAAATCTTTTCGTTTACGTGGCAACGGCGAAGCTCTTTAATAAACTCGTTGTGATAGATCTTGATTAGGCTTTCGAAACTCTTCTCGATCAACGACGACTGCACGCTGCTGTATATCAAGTAAAGAATGTCCGTGGAAACTGAGATGTGCCTGCTTATCTGGTAATCCACCATTTTCAAGTCGAGTATCCGGCCGTTTTTGTCGTGCAGGTAGAGCAGATTGTTGGTCCACGGATCGCCGTGGCAAATCGTGAAATACTTCTGCTTCGGCCCATTGAACAGTCGATGCATCGTGTCGTAAGTCTTGTTGTTGTAAGTGCTAATGTGATCTATAACGTTTTGCAGCTCTTGCGTTCGCGGCTCGATCACTTCCAAGTATTTCAGCGTTAGCTGGGTACACATTTCGGTGCACATCCTTGCTGCTGACGTTTCGGACGCATCTTTGTAAAATACTTCCGTCATTGAGTTGTTCCACTTGTCAAACTGCCGCGGGTCCTTGATCTTTATAGCTAAAGCTGAAGCATGTAGTTTGGCAAGTTTCTGAAAACAGAATATGAAAAATGTGTCAACTATTCGTTTGTTAAAACTTAAAATCAAAAGTTAAAGTTCATAATCTTGCAAATTGAAAAATACAAATAATAAAACATTGTTTGTCAATTAATTTTTTGAACTGCGGAATTTTAATCGAGAACTTGGAGACCTGCCGTTTAAAATTAAAAAATGTCATTTAATCGAATTTTTGCTAAACAGAATTTAAACTCCAAATTAATCAAAAGTTCAAAGTTTGTTATTTGTAATAATTGTTGAATATAAAGAGGAATGTGAATCTTGAAAGCTCGACACTCGACTTACGATCAATGTACAAGAATCTGATAAATTAACAAACTTGCTGCATCATAGATCATTTAATCTGTGCATCAGACGCAAGCGCAATCTTGAAAAATCATTATACTATCTAGATCTTCAGACAATACAAAACATTATTTAATGATCGGTCGACTGTCATCGAGATAATCGAGAAAGTAATCTGTGACCATGACATATTATGACAACCACTATGTCTTTATTCCTGGCAACGTTCTGCTTGTTAGCGGAATAAAGCTTTATAATCCTTGAAGTTTATCTACAGCTTGTCTATAGCACGATAAGATTAGCAACGCGCGTGATCGAACTATTATCTGAAGCACATAAAGAAGCAACAGACGCCTGGTGATGTTTTGCATTCTAATTATATTGCAATTATAAAATTTCTTGCTCCGTTGCTGCTTCGTGCGTATTTAATCGTCACGCGAGATTCTTATTAAACTTTATTATCCGAGAAACGTACTCTTAAGGCGTAGACAGAGTGATCCAAGTCCAAGAAGTTGCGTCTCTCGCAGTTAGTGTATCCCTTCTCTGCCAAATCTTCCATTATTATGTTCTCTTCGTCGGCGTGTATACATTGAGGGCCGAAAGGTCCAAGCGTGGGCAATATTTTTTGATAGACGTACGCTTCCATACGGAACAAATCGGTAAGGTCCACTAAATTAGAGATTCCGCGTGCTAGACTGAGCGTCTTCGTCATAAAAGTCTTGGCATACGCTGTGTGCAAAAAATGAATTATGAAAATACGAAAAGAAATTCGAGAAACACGTCCATGCGTACTTGTGTGTATCGCGTTTGTACAAAGTTATTTTTTCTACATTAAATAAACACAGTGAAAGCATATTTTTAATATTATCAAATTTTTGCGATAAAAATACAATAAACCGCGTTATTTACTTTTTATTTATTTATTCTTAATCTGTGCCCTGCGGCTTCAGATGGCTTCCAATTTTACATTTGTAAAATAAACCGCGAAACAGTTCAGCTTGTATGAATGAAATTTTAAAAAGTATGCAAAATAAATATTTAAGAAATTAAAAGGAAATATAAAATAAAGGTTCCAATATTATAGAGTACGACGAGTAATATATATATGAAACGCTTCGGATATTACGTAATTATCCTGAGTCAGTGATATTAAAACAACGAAGTAACGTTGTATTTTCCAGCACACATATGATTGTGAAATGACATGGCTGAGAATTAACTCGTTTCGATGACTCAGGCTTCGCCGATTCTACCGGCAATTTTCATTTGTCCTTCATACGCTTAAAACGTAATAACAATACTAACGACTTCCATCCCCGCGTGTGCCGACGAGTTTCGATCTGATCAACACCGACGTATAATTGTCGCCGATTTTTGACCCTGGCTTGTCCACGACCTCCGAAATCACCAATTTGTCGTCGTTCTCGTGTTTTCTGAGATAAACTTGAAATTGTTTCGCCGTCTCTGAAAATTGAATGTCAAATCATGTGAAAATAATGCTATCTGCGAGATTGCGAAATGGCAATTCGCGAATAATAATACCGGCCTTTTTGCAATGCTATGCTCAGAAATCGTTTAAAGCGTTAAATCAAACATTGTAAAGTAAATATAACATAGTAAAATGTTAAATCATAGGACACGGGCATTAGCAACGTACAATCTCTACGATATCACTTCATGGTCACATGCATAAATTGAGATGACCTTATCTATAATATGTGTGCACGAAGTATCAAAGTGTAATCATAAGTGTCACTGACAATGTCTATTACTGACGCATAGATAAAATTGGTATTTATAACAGCTCTCGTATATTCTCAACTGGATAAAACAATCGCATATATCAAAATATGCAATCCAGTTTCGCAATATTTTGTAATTTCTATGCTGCTGTTATCATATTTCGATAGACTATCGTAATTATTTTTTCAATTAGTTTTAACTACTATTTATTTTGACAGTTCAATTAGAGAATTAATTATCAGTTTAATTGGAGAACAATAATTTAATTAGAGCATTAATTATCAAAGTAATATTGAAAACTCCTCTGAAGGAGTTAACGAAGAAGGAGACTCGCAAAACTGAAAAATTCTAGCTTGCCACAAAATTCATTTCTGTATAAAATGGACTATTAATTCGTCAAAAGTCGCCTGGCAAAGAACACACTGTTGCTCAAGGGCACTCGATGCAATTGTTTGTCAAAGCCAAGTGCAAATTTAGATTCTCGTCACGGATGTGAGCAATTCTACGCCTGGCAATTACCCGGTTTCAAAGATTCTAAGCCAACCAGAACTGTAAATTACATGTTCTACGCAAGAGCAAATGACTGTAATTTCGATGATAACATAACAAAGCAAAATAATTATAATATGTACATTATAAATCGTCGACATGTGATAATTTAAAGAAGTTGCCATGTAACGTGCGTAATGAGAGAAACCGACTTTATTAGCGACACATTCACATTTAGCGTCAAAATTAACGGCGCAATTGTTTTATTTTCGCTACAAATAGCGTATAAAGTTCAAAAAATTCAAAGCATACAAAATTGTATTTCTTTATTTTTATCAACCTTTTTGATCTTATAAAAAAAAACTTATTTTTTCATATAACACAGAAAAAAAACGAGTGCCGGTCACGAAACCAATTTGATTACATTCGTTTCAAAGATTTTGTAAAGAAACCGTGATAGATTACTCAACAAATTGTCCTAAATATTTCAAAATTTTATTAAATCCTTGCGCGCATTCAATCCACTAAGTTTATTTTTTTGTTTAGTCGATAAAATGTTCCTGTTGACGAAGCGTAGTAAGTAACTTCGCCTGAAATCTTCAAATATCGCTGACTTACAAAAATTCCTGCAAGCGCCGTTTAAGCAGCTTTTTCCATCGTGAACGCTCTTAAGTGCGCGAGCACCGTAGCGCGAAAGTTAGATTTGACTCGTCTAATACAAAAATTTATATTCGACGTTACTATTTTGTAGTATTGCCAAAATCGATATTAATCGATAAGAATCATCGTTTGATGGAATGGCATTATGCAACCTTACACTATATTATATTACATCAATTTGCATGTCATTTGAAATGATAAGCTCATTTAATTATGCATTAACTGACAGTTGGCTCAAAATTCTCAAAACATTTAATTGCTGCAATCAACATCCGTATTTTTAATCACATTTCAACAATTTATCGTCATCAAGATTCATGTCCAATTTTAAATTGACAGATGGTGGACAGATAATAGCAAAACATTTTATCATCTTATCTTAAAAAATGTATCAGCTGAACAAGGTAGATGTCAATGTTATTTTAAATGTATTCACCTAATAGTTACACAGAGAACTCTTTTGACTATCACATCACCTTTCCAATAAAGAAATGTATACAATAATAGTAAACACAATCTAAAGCACACAAGTTATGCTACCGTCAAGTTCGAAAGTTGTTAATAGAGATATCAAAAGAATATATAGAAATGTAATCTTTACGTTTTATATCGCAATCGCAATCGTTAAATAAATAAATTTAGAATATAAAGTTGCACTGATTCGCGTTGTTCGTCTCGTATTGGTTTCCTTTCCCCAAGATTTTCCATAGATATTTCTAATTACGTAATTATCTATTTAATATATTATTTAATAGTTGCCATTGTAAACTGATTGCATAAATTTTTCGATGATTCTAATAATTATCTTAGATAAAGATTAAGTAATCAAGATAAATAAAAGATAAATAAAAGAAAACTAATAGTATTATAAATAAATTAAATAAAATTTTTGGAACTAGAACAAACGTTTACATCGCGTTAATCGGATATAAATTTAATTTTTTTTTATTTAAAAAAAATCGACATACAGAAGGTAACAATGGAAATGATTTATTTCAGATTAAAACACTCTAAAAGAATTGCACAAACTGAAAAATGACTTGATCACTTTTCTCTACAGCGGAATCGTTGAAGAATTCTTTTGTCATTTACTTGCAATGGAAAACTTATCCGAAAAATCCACGTACCTTCGGCGGAGCGGTTAATCGCGAACGATCCGTTCTCCATCGTTGTATATCACTTCACTGATCACGATCGTTTAGGCGACTTTGCTATTCGCACGGCTCGCGGATGCGCGCTCGTATGACACACGATCGTTACAGAAGAGCGAACTGTCGTTAAGAGTGGGACGCTCCTCTGCACGTGCCGTTTTTATTCCTAACGTGTGAAAATTGCGTAAGATTGCATACGTACATTGCACACAATTGTGTAATCTTTAGCATATGGATTGAAATCTCAGTTCAACCGATATGCAGGAAATAACGACATTGACGCTCGCGATAAAGCCCCCCTCTTTTCACCTTCGTGCAATCTTTCTCTCTTTCTCTGATTTCTTGCCGCAAAACAACTTTATCTGTGAGATTAATTTCGAGAACGAGATAGAGAACGAAATAAAAAGTTTATTGGAAAAATACATGACTTGTCTATGCCAAGCGAGCCGAGTAAGCTGATCTTAATCAGAATAGCGTTGTCGTAATTTTATTTCATCGGCATTTCAAAAATGGTTATCGTTAATTTAATTAAATCACAATGAAAATACGGATACCGATATATGTATATTAGAGAGCCAATTACGCAGGCACCAATTATCCGAGTATTGACTTCCCCGAGAATCGATTCGCGAATGCGTGTAAGCAGAAAATGTAATTATTTCAAATGTAATATTATTTATTGTTATGTTTATTTCATTCATATTTTTAATGTTACACGTACTTATTTAATGCTCTACGTTTTACTTTTTTTTTTACGTCTTATGCAAGTGGATTGATTACAGATATGTTGCTGTCTCACAACTCATCAAGATAATCGACGATTCATTATAATTAATAGTATCGAGTGTGAATGATGATAATAAAAAATTGTGTTTAATAGACACGTGTAACTCTTAACACTGTCAAGGGTTATGGATACTTATTAATGATTAATGATTCGTTGAAAAATACTTATGACGATATAATTATATAACAAATGTACTTTACATCTTTAAATTACTGAAAAAAATAATATTAAATATTATCGCGCTAATTACAACTTTGACTAATTGCCAAAAAAATTCTCAATATAAATTTTAATTATATAAATAAAATTTTTTAATCGCACTTACCTTCGCTTGGCTTCATAAATGCTTTGTTGTGCCGCCAGTTTGTGGAGAAATAAAACGAATATTTAATGATGCAGAATAAAAGTAAAGAATAAGGCGACGTGATGATTAGAAGAATGCAGAACGGAAGAAGGAAAGGGCGCGCGGATTTCTTAATTTTACAAAACCCCGGTATTCACATACAGGACAACCTTTATTACTTAATGCTGCACTCTAGTCACAATATAATACTACGAATTATTACAATATTAATAATATTATCATAGTCATAATAGGTCATAATTTTTAATATATATGTATATTTATATGTATATATATTTATGTGTATTTGTAATATATTAATATACTTATCTATACCTTGTTGTTACATAATACACGATTCCTTTTTCTTACCTTATCATTTAGCGTATATAGATATATATATAATGTATATAGATATAGATATTTATATATATATATATATGCATATATATATATATGTCATCAGGATGGTATAAATAATATTGTATTTCATAAAAGCACTTCTTGTTGCTTATAATATTATCGTTTTCATATTGTTTCTCTACCTCTGTTAATGCCTCTCTTTCTCGACTCATTTCACTCTTTTTCACTCGCTCTCTCTCTTTCTCACTTCACTTTCTTCTCTACTTTTTTTACTGTCATACGCATTATTTCATTCATTTTCTTTCTTTCTTTCATTCTCTCCACTATTATTCTTTCTCTTTCTCTCCCTCACTATTTTTCTCTTTCTCTCTTTCATTCTCACTCACTCACTCTCTTCCTCTCCAGGACGTCTAAAAAAAGTTTTTACTGCCTACAAACTCTGCATTTATACTATCATTCGAATATCATTTGACTGCATTACAAGTCCCACTGTACTCCCATTAGCCGATGGCCGACGTTTCTTTTTTTTTTTCGTTTCCTGTGTTATTTCTTTTTTCAGTTTTTGTATTTTTTTTTTGCGTTTTTCTGCAATTTATAAATTATGAAATTCGCCGCGGTTTTAAGATATTAATGTTCCTGCTGCCTGGTCCACTAACATTCCTAGAAAAAATACTCTTCGTCTCGACGCTTTATCAGTTATACACGAAAACGTACTATTTACGAACGGATACTCAAATCCTTCGAGTGCTCTCTTTTTCTCTCCTCCCCCCCCTCTCTCTTTCTTTCTCTCTTTCTCTTTCTGTCTTTGATCCTATTGCGGAGTTTTTTTAAAATTTTTTTATTATTATTTTTTTTTTTAATTTTCCGCGCTTTCCTATCATTTCAAAACAATTCGGAGAAGAGGCACGCACGAGCAAAGGATCGAGAAGGTGCGAAATTCTTTCTCGGATATCGTTTTCGATTCCAAAGTCACGTCAAAATACAGTAGAAATAAAAATGTCAAATATAAATTAAAAAAAAACACACTAAAAATAAAAAATACACATGTAAACATTAAAGTGCTATACAAAATATGCTTTGAGATGTATTATTTCAAAGTTTTAATGCATTTGCGAAGTTTAATTTCAAAAATATTATTCCGCACTATTTTATAACACACTGTAAAAATAAAAATACCCGGAAATAATGCGAAAAAAATATTTCGTAATATTTGTTCAGCTTCGGAATCCGAGTTTGACGTTGTGATTCTTTTCGGTGTCGATAACATTCCGATGAATCACACGAGAGCACTCGTCCACTTCATGCATCAGTACGTATTTAACGTTAACTCGTTATGTTTTCGGGTTAGTAACTAGATTACAACAATAATACAAAATATTATTCGCCTAACACCGACGTCCGAGTGCAAAGGATTAACTCTACACAGCTCGTACACTATCCCTAACCATTACGATGCGCATGAAGTAGGACTTTACGTGGACATAGTTTCCATCGTGACGTGTGTGGACGACAAAGAAAGAAAAAAAAAAAGAAAGAAAACCTGGAAAAGAATCGCGCAAACTGTGAAACTTTTCAGGACGAACTGTAACTTTCGTCGCGCGCGAGTTCCGGCTTGCTGAAGAAACGCTGTAGAATAGGCGCTAAACACTTGTCTCCGTCCTCGACGAAAGAACGAATGCGCGGGAGGATCGAACATTCGTCACTCCTTTCGCCTCTATTTTTTTTTTATCCAGTACCAAAATTCGTCATCGCCATGGAGATTCGCGCTCGCTTTTGTTTGTTTATTTTTTTCACGCGACCGCCGCTTGCTCGTCGAGCGTTACAGCCGTGTATAATCGTCGACTGGAATCGCTTCCATTGATATGTCATGGGTAAAACTCGGCGGATATAAGACACACGGCTGGGAGGTGATTGAAACGCGTTGAAAGAATAAACGGACACGCATATCGTGAAGAAACGTAACGAGGGACGAAGCTCTCCTACGTGCAGGCGTTATTTTAATAATGGCGCAATTCTTGTTTTTTTTTTTTCTAGAAAACACAGTTACGAAGCATTAAAACGTTGAAGAAGCGAGAGAAATTTCAAGAGCACGAGTCTCCGAGGAGAAAGCACACCCATATTTAATAGGCCTCTTTGATAAGCACTTTGCATTTTAAAGCTCTTTACCTGCGAAGCTTTCGCCGCTCCTTCGGCTTTAAGACTTCACCGTCCGAAACGGAGGAAATTGCGCCACTTTAAAATAATGCTCCCGAATGGATGCGCCGGGAATGCACTTCCTCACGAAACGCGACAAGTTTCGAAAGTGGAAAATAACATTTGTCACGCGAGCTTTCACGTCGCGGGGCAAACCGCGAGACGCTCTAACGCGCGACCAATTATCCACGCTTACCGCCGATCGAACTTGGAATTTTTAAACACCCTGTATACAACCGCCGCGGGAATCCACATCGTTACAGAGCCGCGGCTACATCGTTTCGATCGAAATTCAGCGACGGTCGGTGGCCGATAAGAATCAATAAAAGTCTCTTTGTAATCCGCAATTAAGCTTTTCTTCTTTTTTTTTTTAATAAGAATGGCTCTTAAATTATTGATGAATCGAGATAACGTTTGCGTTTGTAATTGGCTGTAATTCGATAGAATGCTCAACGCAATCTTGGAAAAACGAAAATTCTCGATCTGTTCATAATAAATCTTCTTATCGTCCGATAACGTATATTTGCGCCTTTACGTAGAGATACTTTAACATCGATTACTTTCTACGTTAATTTAAATATTTGTTTAATATCGACTTATATGATTCATTATTGATGTATGATATAAGTGTTAATCAAACGAATTGATTTACCTTACTTCTTACAGGTACTTACTTTCTTATTCGTAAACGAGATAACGTTCATTATGAACAGATCGATCTTTTCTGCCGCAAACGTGACGCCTTCGTATAATTAAATCTTGTCCGAAGCATCATGTCAGCGCGATAACATTCTTTCTCTTTCACCCAGTCGAACAAACGACTGGCAAAGTTATTTCAGCTTTCGAACTGTGGATTGGCAGGAAAATTAATTACGGTGTCTTCTGACAGAACTTCTTAGCACTGCCCGTGCAATTGTTCGCAAGCAAAAAGGTAAATGTATCGAATATATAATTTTCAAAAAGTGAGATCACTTTGCGGGAGCGCTTGACGATCGCGGAATCTAGAGCTTAAGCGTTCCGCTTAATTAAAAATGCAAACCCGTCTCTGCGAAACGCATCGGGAGTCGCTGCTATCGCAACGTCGATGCTCGCGAGAAATCGCACCTTCCTCGATCCTGAACGGCGAATTCCAGAACAGCCTGTAATATCGACCAGTGACCGGTCCGACTTGTCCATCGGTACGCATCGAATCTAATAAACGGAGAGATTCTATACGAAAACGACCGACCCGTTCATCGTTTCACTTTCAACCCCCTTGGCGACGACTTACGACGGGCGTCTTCTTCTCGTCTCCCCGTAAATCGTCATCCCTTCGATGCGAACAATAATATAACGCTTATTTAGAATACCGTTATCGATCTACTTACGTTTAAATGTTTACCCAATATATATAGCTGCTTAACGATAATAGTGTTTGCGCGTATTAACGGTTAATGAAATACCGATCGCTTAATACGGTAAGCACACGACTATCACCGAAC